TATTTTCTTTTTGCAAAGCATCTTGATTTGAAATTTTAAAACATGTAGTTTAATTTGAAGTATATAAAATCATGGTGTATTACTGTACAAATAGTCTTTGAAGAATACTGATATTCTAAGGCTAACAATGATTTTAACATATGATGACATGATACATGAAACATTGAAGTACATAGGAGGTTTCAGATACTTATTTGAAATATTTGTAATTAATCGAATGGGTAGTCAATTGGAATTCAAGAAGACAAAGACAAGTTTAGGTTCAACCAAAAAGGATCAAGATGGTTGGTTGAGATAAAAATGATTATGTTTGTTGCACCTATGATGAGACTAAGTCAAGAATGGACAACAAAAAAGGGGTCCTTATTCGAAGAAGAAGAAGAAAATACTTTGAAACTTTGTCATTGCACACATTTTAGCCTAAAGATGATCATGACATTCATAAATGCATGATATCAAACACGATGTCACATCTGTAGGTTTTTTTTTAAAAGAAATTTGAAAGTTCAAAATCCTGAGATTGGAGTGATCATCTCAAAATTCCTAAAAATAGGGATATCCAAAGATTGTATGATTTTGGTGTCCACGAAAGAGTAGTGGAACAAGTTTCTTCAATGTTGTAAATTTGGTCTCCACGGAAGAGTAGTGGAAGCAAATCAACCTTGAATCTGATCTTCACGGAAGAGTAGTGAAACAGATTCTTTTCAAGTCAATTCAATCTCCACGAAAGAGTAGTGGAAGCAAGTTATTTAAACCAAGCCTTCACAAAAGAGTAGTGAAGTAATGCAATCAAGCCTTCACAAAAAGAGTAGTGAAGCAAGATCAAAGTTCGATCTCCACGGAATAGTAGTGGAACAAATTTTTATCAAATAAAAAAACCACTCGGTGAAAACTTCTTGTCTTTTATCTTTTCTTTATTCTTGTTTACACAAAAATAAGTAAAGAGGGGCAACTGTCGACAGTAATTTTCGTCCGAGTGACGTTTAGGTTTTTTATATACATATTATAATAAATATTATTATATTATAATTATATTATTATTCTTAAAAGTTACAATTTTACATGTCCAAATTACAACCTGAAGGCCCAAGTTATAAAACATACCCCGAAGCCTGATTACAACCAAGACCCAGACTCGGTTCAGGCCTATACTTGACCCGAACAACCCAGTAGGCCCAGAAGCAAACTCAAGTGCTGCTAGGGTTTCACACATGTTCCAGCGTCGCAAGCTTCCTCAGCCATTCGATCAAGATGGAAATGGAAGGCCCAGATCTTCCATCAGCTAGGGTTTTTACCCTAGCAGTAGCCACCAGCTCCACAGCATCTCGATCAGAAGTAAATCAACCGTCGTCAGTTTAGCCAGAAAAACCCTAGGGTTCTCATTACAACCCTAGTCTATTCCGACACTGTCATAGGGATGATGATGCTTTCACCGACGAACGTTCCAACCAACAGAGGCCACGATGGTGCCACATCATCACCGAATTCGCAAGATATGGGTGCATTTAATGCATCCAGTCTCTCCAACGCACAACTCACCACCCTTAGGGTGAGTCACCACCGTAGCTCTGGTGACTCACCGGGGTATAGCCTCTTAACCGGACCAAAGGGTGCACCAAAAAACCTTATAAATAGGGCAAACCTGCAAGAGAACAAGAACAACGAAGCAAGCAAACACAACCATCCCAATACACATCAAGCCAACCATCAAAATAATGAGAGAAGAAAGGGAAGGAAACATTACCTTCATCGGAGAGCCCTTGAGTCACCGGAGAAGAAAAAACATCGAAGGTAATCAGTCATATTTAGGTTGTTGGGTGTTTTTTAAGAAAAACTAGGAAGAGTGGAACATTTTTAGGTAATTTAGTGTTTTTCGGCCACCGTGGGTGGTGGCCGACGATGACGGTTGACGACAGTGTGTGGCTGCCGGCCGGGGACGAGTTCCCTTCGGTGAGGGAATTCTAGAGAGAAGCAGATGAAGGAAATTAGGTTTTCAACCTTTTTTAGGCCTAATGAGGCCTATTTATACTGCTCCCTGAATGGCGTTGTTTTGGGGAGGGGCCTGCCTGTAATTTGGGTATGGGGAAATTAAGCCCGAGGTCATTGTAACTTGATAACTTTGCAATTTAGTCATTAAAAGCATATTTTATGTATTTTAATTTTGTCTTTTAATTTTATTTATTTATGTTTCGATCACTACTGCACATATATATATACTTTAGGATAAATATTAAGTATAGTCCTTAATATTTTAATAATTTACATTTCGACCTTTCTAATAATTTAGGGTAAATTACATTATTAGTACACTATTTTAATATTATTTTGAATTATGGTAATGAATTTTAATATTTTCTATTTTAATCATTAATTATTACTATAGAATTAATTATTAATATTTACATCTTATATTAAGATTATTATTAATTTATAATTTTATAAGTTAATCTATATAGTTCTAATTTTCAATATTATAATAGTATTAATATTATTAATATTAAATACTATTAAGTAGTAATTTATAGTAATTATTTGTAAATTAGTATAATTACAAATTTATCATTTATTACAAATACACTAATTAATAAATATCGGTACCAATTTTGGAGTTATGGGGGTGCTAATCCTTCCCCATACGTAACCGACTCCCGAACTCATTTTTTTGGTAAACAGACCCGAGTTGTATTATTTTAGTATTATTCTTAAGAATTTTATTAAAATAATATGATATTTTGGTGACCAATCACACCGAATAAAAGATTGGTGGCGACTCTACAACTTGGTGTTTCATCTGATTCAAGGAGGATAAACGCTTACTTTTTCGAGACTAGTTACACCGTTTGGGGTGTACTATTTGCACTCTCCGTCGCCTGGCAGAGAAACTTCTCGACACTATAGGTTACATATATTAACTATTGTTTATAGACTATAGGTTAAGGTTACATATATAATTTATATAAACTATTGTTTATATGAACTATATATATATCAATCTATATAGTTTATATAGTTTAGGGTTTATATTATATATATATATATATATAATGTATAGATTACATATATTACTTATGCATACATATATATATACTATATTAATATAAATTATAGTTTATAAATTATATACTTTTTATAGTTTATACATATATAGTTTATATACATAGTTTATATATATAGTTCATATAAACATAGTTTATATATGTAGCTCATAAAATTATATAGTTTATAATATAAATATAGTTTATATATAAACTTATATTATATTAATATAAATTATATACTTTAATACTTTATATAGTTTATATATTGTTAACACATAGTTCATTAATAAATTTTACAGTTTATATAAACTATAAATTATTTATGTAGTAATATATATGTACTTAATATATATTATATATATGTAATTTATATATATAAATTACATAATTTATTAATAAACTACATGTAAACTATATATATTATATATTTTTCTTTATATACTTTATATATATATATATATATATATATTATAAATTATTTTATATAAAATTCGATTCAACCGCGGTTGAACCCGGTTGAACCAGTGAACCAGTACCTTCACCGGTTCAATGTCCGGCCCGGTTTTAAAAACATTGCCTAAAACATTATTTTTTTACCGGAAATGTTAATTTCGCTAACTAATTTCCGGTAGAACCCAATATTAACATTTCAGGCAGAAAAAATAATGTTTTAGGTACCACTTTACCGAAAATGTTAAACATTTTAGGTAGCGCACAATATTAACATTTTCGATAGGAAAAATAATATTTTAGGTAGCACTTTACCGGAAATGTTAAAAAATATTAACATTTCCGGTAACGTATTTCTTTAACCGTATATTAAGATTGTCGTACCTGATATATCTCCATAGATGAGACAGTAGCAGCCCACTTAATCAAATTTCTGTTGAGATATAGATTTGAATTACGTATTTTCGGTAATGTCATGTTTATTTTGATTATGTCGTAATATATATCATTGTGTTCACTTTGGGATATTACGATCATAATTTTTTTCTATAATTCATAAAACTTATTGTAAAACAAAATAATTAAATTATTACGATAGACTATTGATTTTTTTTTCTAGCTTTACCGTAATAAAATAATAATGAGAATAACAATTTATTATTATCACAATCGACTACTACTCGTTAAAATGCAATTGTAACCCATCATTCATTATTATTATTGGTGTGATTTCTCTTCACATCATTATTTTTTAAAATAATATTTTCGGATGATATTGTTATTATTATATAACGGCCACTATTTAAATCTCTAATAATATATGTTAGAAAATTTTCTTAATCAATGACCACACATCTTACAAGTTCAATTATTCGAACCCATATCTTTTTAGAGAATAAATATTTCTTTTTATTACAAAGACCATTTGATGAGTTAAAAAACATGGCTACATTTATCCTTAAACCAAGATGAGAAGATCATCAAATGAGAAGAAAGGGTTGGACGGAGTGGGTTGAGAAAGGGTGCTTTGGGCTTACAAAATGAGAAAGAAAAAGAGAGAAAACAAAATAGTCTGCGCACATTTTTAATTGGTGGTGGGTCGACTAAAGGAAATGTACCACTAAAGCAAAATCTAGGATTTAAGTCTTAATTCAGGACCTCATATGAAATGTGATTTGTGACAACATAGGAAATAGGTGAAAGGTACCTTTCCTAAAACAAGAGAACCTATTGAATGATTTCTACGGTAAAAAAGAAATATCATTCGTCCTAGAATACCCAAGTTCAAAAAATTACGTTTACAGAGTGTATATTGTATTGTCAATAAATTAAGAAAATTTTGAACAAATACTTATTCAAATATGTATGAGTACCCTCCAAAAGGCACTAATTTGATATCCCTTTAATTCTATTATTCTCTCCCCTCCCAGCAAAACCAAAGGGGGATAAGATGCAAATTGACCACGGGGTATATAAAGTTATGTATCTATCTATGCAAAAGAAAACCGACAGTTGCATACAAAATATTGAAAATTACCACCTCTTCTGCATTTCTTTCAAGCTATATATTACAATCTGTTGTCAACCTATACAAAAAAGAAACCCACTTCTAATTCTTCTCTTAGCATTCTGATTTTGGAAAGGTCATGCAACCATCAAACCTCATTAAGACTTCAGTGTTTGGCATGCAAAATATGTCAACCCCACTCATTGGATCTAGCAGTAGCATACCTTTATGTTTTGCTCGTAAAACGCCAATGCTAAGGATGAATAGGATGTGAGTGTGCTGAGCTACTACTAGTTCTTGCCTGTTGCCCAAAACTTAAATCAGGATGAAGTAGCTCTGCCTGTAGGAATGAGCCATTGGGCAGCACATCCAGCAGCAAATCTTGGTCGGAGTTTTCATCTACAAAATGAAGGGAATTCAACACGATAGAGCGACCATCAAGAAGCATCGGACTAAAGCAAGAACCATCATTGTCTATGAGTTCTTTGTTTTCGCAAGAAGCCTTCATGATCACCCTTTTGGGGCTCTTTAAAGATTCTGAAAATCGAAAAACCATGTTTTTGTTGGGCAAAATGCCAGTGTAACCCAAAACAATCACAAAAGCTCTCAATGTTAACAATCGACTTGAAGGGTGAAATTTATTTAGTCACAAAGAAATTTTCTTCATATTCCTTCACGTTATTAATTTATTTCATACAATGCAGTAAAAGCAGAGAAATTTTTTGAACCTGGAAAATGTTGAATTAGGTTGTCACGTGATCTCTTCATAATTGCCAAACTATTCGAAGCAATAGCATTTTGTCCTCTAGCAGTGATAGATCCTTGAATACTTTTACATTTCTACAGCCAAATAAATGCTACTATGTACAGTAAACCAATGAGCAAAATATGTTCACGTCAAGATGTTCGAGAAACCAATTCATTCATACCTTAAGCCTGTGAAGGCGTTCCACCCAATGGGATTTCGTCAAGTTGCACAATGCAAGTCTTTTCAGTGTCTTACAGTCTTCGGCTTTCACTCCATGGACAGAGATATTAAAAACCCCTTCCTCAAGTAATTGCTGAAAGTAACAGAAGTTTTCCTTGAATTGAGGGCTTTCAAACATGCTTTCGAGGCTGCAGGTGCAAGGACAACTATCAGAGATTCACTATTGTGTTTTCGGCTATTGACCATCTCTATATGTAACTAATAGCCATTATTAGTTTCCTTAAATATTTAACTTTCATTTTATGTGCATCAGACACTTCAAAATAAAAACGGGATTATTATCGGTAAATGCATGCCACCATACACAACATTAAATATATAGACGTTATGTTCGACCTCTTGATAATAGATTAAAAGGGATACCTATCAGGTAGTTTGGCAATGTCTAGTGGAGGTAGATACTGCAATAACTGTTGCTGCTCCTCCTTTGTTAAATATTTCACAAATTCCTCGAAGTTGAGAATATCCTGTACCATACAAAAATATCATCGTACAACGGACAATGAACATGTTTTATGGAGTGAATTGTTTATGGCAACTCTTTTTGCTATATATGGAGGATTTATGTGAAAGATTTATGAAACATTTAGTCACTAAACATATAAAAAATTACAGGTTTGATAATATTGCAGCTTCAGAATTCAGTTCTAAAGGTTGTTCCCAGGAAAAAGAAAGAATAAATAAGAGAACTTACATTCAAATCTATGTTACACAGTGGCGAATCATGACTTTCCAGCAGTAGTGATTTTTCATGCTGAGCTTTGTCCCTAACAATTTAAAAAAAATGTTATCACCATTGCCAATTTCACCTCCCATTGCACAGCAAGCTTTATATTAAGGCCTGTGACTTGAGAGTAATGATGACAGTAGATGCCAAAAGTTTTCCTTAAAAAATGGAGACATTACTACTTGGAAGCTTTTGAGATTAATGACATGCCTTGCAGTGAGGAAATGTATCTTCTCTTAACTTTTCTAAGTGGCATTGGAAAATTAATATCTTCAGTAAAAAAACACAAGGTCTACATAATTCTAGTTTCGTAATTGGTAGACTCTGTTGCAACTTGTAAAATATTATTGTGAAAAGGTTTACCTATTAAGTTGCTCATGCTGCATGCCTTGCCCAGCAAGGTTCATAGCCCTTTCAATTCCATGTCCTGAAAACTTGATGCTTTTGCTATCATTATATGCAGGGAAGCTTGAAGAATGTGAATAAGCCTCATTTCTTGAGTACTGTCTGTTTTCAACTGAGAGGGAACTAGCTTCCGATTCCTCTTCCCGAGCTATTGAGTTTGGATGTCTAATTAAAACACTCCCATGTCCAAACTCAACAGAATCCATGGGTGTCTCACATTCAAGAAGCAAATCCTCCTCAGAAGATCCAGAAAAGTATGAAGACTGTTGTTCATGTAAAATAGTATACAAATCTTTTGTGAGTTTCTCGATTGGAGATGGCTTTGAACGATTTACACAGGTTCTTTTCTTAGAAGGTACCATTGAGTCCCACACGTTAGATTGAGCAGGCCCTGGAAAAAGCAAGAAAAGGAAACAACTTAAATCAGTATATTCCATTGCATGAAGTACACGATCACTAGGTCTTTTCTTTGATGACCCAGAAAAAAAAATGCAATATACTACAATACAGTCAAAAACAATAATGAGGAACACGATGGATTTATGTCCAACCTATCAAGTCACTAGCATCAGTATACCCAAATTTGGCACAGCTTTCAGAATTAGATATGGCAGATCCAGAACTCGATCTATTACTAGTATCATCATCCACAAATTTACGGTTACGCTGATTGTAATCAGGGAAAACAACTACTTTATCATGATTTACTTTTCTTTTCAGCAGTTTCACTTCTTTGTTCTTATTTATAGATATGATCTTCAATCTGGAAGCCCTATGATCCTCATAATCATCAGGTTCAACCCTGGCATGAAGTGGGGTATAATTTGTAAGTGTCCCTTTAGTCCTCCACCGTGATCCACATGCATTGCACAATACTGGTTTCTCAATAGGTCCATTACGCCAAAGAGGAGTGCCTATCACAATGCATTGTTATTAGTAAGTATAGACTAATTAAGGACAAAGATAGTTTATAATCAAGATATGCTTATACAATAAGAGTCATTAGCCAATTTTTATTCAGGTTTAGAGCCAACATAATAGAAATTAGATAAAACCGAAGTCATTCTATCTTGGTTTTAAAAGGCGCGCCTAGGCGCGAGGCGCAGCCAGGCACTGAAGATGGTGCACGCCTGGAATGAGGCGAGGTGAGATACAAGATGTGCACGCCTATGGGTTTTAGGCGCCGGGCGCGGCACCTTTGCGCCTTTCGGATTTTTTTTAAAAGATATTAATAGGAAGTAGAACAGATTAAAGAAGAAAGAAAAAGATAAAAAAAAAAAAAGAATTGCAGTGGTAAGAGAGGAAGAAGACGGCTGAAGAAGTCTAAAAAACTCTTTCTTTTATCACATTTTCTCATTTCTTAATCCTAATATTTGACCTATTAACAAGCTCAACTCTATAGCCCAAATTTACAGTCCAAATTTATGTTTATTTATTTATAACAAACCATTATAACTTCTTCCGCCCTTTGTCTACTTTTAACCTAAAGTATATGCCTTTTTTAGAAATTTAGTTATTTAATAATACATAATTAATTTTAATTTTTAAAATAATAAAATATTTAAATTAAATATTAATTACTTAATAAATTTTATTAAATATAAAAATTGTTTTTTATAATAATTACAAATTTTAAATTGATAATAAAATAAATTTGTATCATTTAAAAATAAATAAAATAATAGTTTTAAATATTAAAAACATTAAGTATAAATTAATAACAGTGTAGATTTTGGTAAAAGGAGATTAAAATATGTTTATAAAAATAAATAAAATAATAGTTTTAAATATTAAAAAATTTAAGTATAAATCAATACATGGTAGAAAAGTATTTTAGGAGTTAATCGGTGGGTAATGAGTATAAATATACTCGTACAATTAATTTATAAACTTTTTAGCATATATATGTTTATAATATTGTTTTAAGTGTAAAATATGTTTCATAACTAATTTATAGGTTTTTTTTAGTATAAAAGTGTGCCTCGACTACGAAAGGCACGCGCATGCGCCTTGCGCCTTGTGCCTAGGCTCCAGGGACCTTTTGAGCCTAGGTGCGCCTCGCGTTTAGTATAAAAGTGTGTCTCGCCTACGAAAGGCGTGTACCTGCGCCTAGGCTCCAGTGACCTTTTGAGCCTAGGTGCGCCTTGCGCCTTTTAAAACCAAGCATTCTATAGACTTCTTCAAATTATGGTCGATAGGATAAACATTGTCAAGGCTGACTTGAGTAAAAGCCAAAGGCAAGAGGGACTTGCATTTGTCCTCACATTCGACATCATTAGCTTTTAAGGATTAATGTTGGAACAATTCCTAAAACAATTTAGAATTTACGCTCTTGCTTCAACCAAGGTAACAAGGACAAATGAAGCTTCCACTAACACTTCTAATTGAAAAAACAAAATTCAGCATTCATTCAGTGAACAGAAACAATGGAATACTGTAAGTTCCAAACGCTTAAATGTTTGAAGAATGCTACAAAGAATTTAACATTAACCAGTAATTCAGAGTGTTTAAACACAGTGATACTTTGAGGTTGAAATGTTTCAAGGCTTTAGAGGCAAAACAATGAACTTCAAAATAGAATTGAATGTTATCAAGAAAGGAAAGAGTAAAACAGTGGTTCACATTAGAATTCCAGTCCAACCTAGGTCGACAACTCTTATCAACAAAGGGTAAAAAAGCTTTTTAGCATTTGATATTAAACAATAGCTTATTTATGAGAAAGTGAGCAAGAAATCTATCAATAACTCAATGGTAATTGCATCTATATAGGTGTCCAAGAGGACTGAGGTTTGACTTGAAATTCATGCTTATGAACACATTGGAGCAATAGGAAAGCAATGCCAATTTCATGTTGAACATGAAACTGGCCAGCATTGAACAAACATAGACTCTGCAATTCTCCTGTATCCAGTAGAATTCAGTCACTTTTATGAGATATGCTGCAACTTTAAACAAGATTTAAAGAAAACCAACCCCAAGGGAGAATATGTAATGAAGTTGAAAGAAACAATTCAATTCAGTAACAAACTCAACTTTAAAGCCTTCCATGGATTGAGAAAGAAGGACAACTGTTGTTCTAGATACATAAGCAACCAGAATAACACAAAGAACAGCAGAAATTCAATAATTTATTTCCCCAATTCCAATGATGGAATTATTTATCCAAGCATATAAAATCATACACCAAACCACTATTTATATAAAAAGGTTGAACACTCAACATATATCCAAGGACTTCCAACATTTTTCAGACTTCATATTCAAACAATTAACTGGTGAAACAAGAACTCACTTGTAACTCCACAGTGATAGCAAGGTCCTTCCTTGCGCATGCTTTTCTCTTTCGCTCAGGGGAAGAAAAACAAATTAAAAAAATATAAAATTTGAAAAGAAAAAAAAAACAAAGGAGAGGAAAAATTAAAAATATATATATTATTGGTAAAAATTTGATCGGTTTCTTCAATCTTTATATGAAATATTCAACTGGGTATTAAAGCTTTTGTTCAAAACCCCAGTAATCTAGTTTTCGTTTGCAGAACAAAACAGAGGTCATAAAAATGAAAACTACCCAGAAATGTTTTATGTCTTTTTTTATCAGTCCAATAAACACAAATTTTAAAAAAAAATAGCAACAAAAAACAAGCCAAGAAAATCAAGAAGAACTTAAGGATTTTACAAATGGGTATTTGAGCTTGGAAAACACTCCAATGAAGAAGAAACAAATTGAAAAAGAAAGACTAACGGAGAGGAATCTAATAAATGGCTGTGAAAAAGAGGAAGGTGAAATGAGAGGAGAAGAAAAAAACACAATAGTAAATTTGTTCAACTTTCTTTTGCCTTATTTATTTATTCATAAATATACTATGTCAAATATTTAAAAAAATAATATGGTAATAATAATCAGAAATTGGAAATTGTTCAATGAAGGATAAAAAATTAAAAAATTCTCACAAAAATATAATGTTGAAAAATAAATTATGATTAAAGAAAAGGAAAGGCCGCCACAAGAAAATTAAAAAAAAAAAACTAATATTAAAAATTATCTTCCAACGTTATGAAAATAATTATTTTAATATATAACTTTTTAAATATTGAAGTCTCAATGATTTATTTTAAGGTAAAAAATCTCTTATATTTGATAAAATAGTTATTTAACCCTAGATATTTTATTTTAGGGTAAAAAATCTCTATTGTGGAGCATTAATATTTGTGTTAACTGCATGAACTGAGCGACTTCAGTGGTAAATGAATTGTTATTATTTTTTGAAATTCGGGTTCGATGACCAAGAATGTTAGGGTGTGAGCGTTAAATGTCAAATAGTTGATCGCTTTAATAAATATTGAAGTTAATTTTAATATTACATAATGCCAAAAATAGGCCTCAATATTGATCAAAATGGTCATTTTGTCTTATTTTCTAAGAATATATTGACTACAACGTTATACTTTGAGATAAAAAACTCTATCTATAGGTAAAAATAATTAGTTAACATATAATTAACGTTCCAAATAAGAGTTTTTTTTAACTTAAAATGAAATATTAATGATAAAATGCTCTAAAAAAGAGATAAAGTGATTAATCTGTCAAATGTTAGAAATTTTTTTCATAAAATAAAATTTATAACCAAAATGCTCAAAAAAATAGAATAGGGGCAAATGACCATTTTAATAAATATTAGGGGATAAGTTTAACATTATGGCTTTTAATATTATGCCAAAAATCAAATCAAAACACCTTTTACCAAGTACATTGTGTTAATAAAATAAATTATCTCGTTTTGTTTATAATTGTTTACAGCTTTAGAAACAAATTAGCTAAATGATACACATATAGTTTTAAAAAAGTAATTAAAAAGTATAATGAATGAAAATTATATTATATACGGAAGTACTACTAATATGTATAGACATATTTTAATGAATGGATGAATATTTTTGTTGGTGTGTGATGACATGATGTTGATAATTTAGTTTTTGTTCAAAAGAAAAAAAGCTAATTTCCACCGTCCACGTGATGATCTCTGTCACTACTCATTATACTCCGTCTGATTTAACTAAAAGCTTTGTCAAATCGGGTCCCACAACATGAGTTTCCCCCCTTTTCTTTAACTTTGTGTTTTAGGTAGATCTAATGGACTTCGTAAAACCAAAAAGTCCAAATACAAAAATTATTTAAAAACATAGACTTGAACTTTCTTAAATAGTTTTAAAATCTAATATTAATAATTATATTAATCAAATTAAATTTTAGTGAACTTTTAATATACACTTTTAATCAAGAGATAGCCCATAAATCCATATGCTATGAAATATATGCCCCAAATATGATGGCTGGAAATTGTTAATTAATATTTAGAACTTAATCAAAGGGATGCGTCAAGTTGTCAAAAAAAGTCATACCTATGGCTAGCTATGGACGAACGATCACTTTAAAAAAAAACAATCTAAATTACTACTTAAGAAAAATAACATTTAATTTTATAATTGAGATCACTCCAAAAATTTACAAACGATCACTTTAAATATAAATTAACTTTTTAATGTTTTGAACCAATGATATTTTTTATTTAGGAATGTTTTATAAAAATTAGGCTAAAGTACACAAATAGTCCTCTGATTATATAATGATGTTTTGTTGTGTCCACAACTATTAAAAATTATAAAATGTCATCCGATCATTCAATATGTTCAAACTCTTCATTTTCTGTTAAAAATCGACAAGCGGTTAAGCTAGACGTTAACATGCTGACTGAGATATGATAGTCGTTTGAAATTCAAATCGAATTTTATCATATATTCGTCAGCAAGTTAACGTCTAACTTAGATTGTCGTCAATTTTTTTAACAGAAAATGACGAGTTTGGAACATATGAATAGTCAGGTGAACATTTTGTAACTTTTAACAGTCGGTGGACTCAACAAAGCAACATCGTATAGTTAGAGGACCATTTTGTAACTTTCAATAATAGGAGACTCAACAAAGAAACTCCATATAGTAAGGGGACCATTTGTGTACTTTACCCAAAAATCATTTTAACTTTAAAGTTTTCTTTGTTTCTTTCTATTTTTAAATTTGTAATATTTTACTAAATTAAATTAAATAATAGATAATAAATTATATAAAAAAATAGTTTTCATAGTTTTCATATATAATTTTAATAATAGAGATATTGATTTATTTAAAATCATAATTTTTTATTATTTTTTTAATTTTACTTTTTGTATATAAGAAAAATAATTGACTTCAGTCTTAAGAGAAAAAATAATTGATATCAATTTAATATATTTTTAAATTTTCTTCAATTAATTTAATTTGATAAAAAAAATTAAAGATAAAAAAATTAAAAATTAAATAACTTTTTAGAAAAATTAAAGATAAAAAAGTTCTTAAACTTTTTTAAAAATATTTTATATACACAAACATTACCATTTATAATGTAGGTCATTACATTTGCTGTAAGTGTACATTACAAACATGTTTGGATCTCATCTCATAAAATCCTTGGATTTTTTTCACTTTTAAGATTGTGGCTCCTTTTTTCAATAAAATAACTACAAAAAATTAATTGAAAATTGCTTGTGATTGTCATGTATTTAATTCTCATTTGCTTATTTTAAAAAGAAATGAAATCTTTGTTAATCGGGAATAACACTAATTTTAATATTAGTTGTTGATTTATTTTATTATTTTTACATGATATCTTTTTTTTATTTGTTTTAATTTTCAATAAATTGCACTTATGACACGTTTTCATCCCTTTATAACACGTTTTTCATTATCTTTTGGCATATTTTTGAACGTTTGACTATTACTTTTCATTTATTTTTAAGGGTTGATTCGACATCGCCACAACTAATCAAGATTATATTTTTCTATTATCATGTTGATATTCCCTACTTTTGACCATAATATTGGATTTGGATACTTGATTTGCGTTCGTGTATAGTTTTTCACGTCGTCTAACTTTGATTTACGAATTTGTCGGTTGTTTTTCAATAGTTTTATCTCCTTTTGTGTTTCATTTGCCGATTTGATCATATCTGTTTGTATCTACCCTTGTTCGAGTTTTTGTTAGGTTTTTTAATCTTTCCTTATATGTAGAGGTGGCAAATGGATCATTCGAATCAGGTTTGGGTTGAGTTATTTCGGGTCGGGTCATTTCGGGTCTAGATTATATTCGATTTAATTTTGTTCGGGTTAGATCGGATATGGTTAGGATCTAGTTCGAGTGTATGGTAACTCAACTTAGGTAGGGTTAATTCTCGGGTCGAATGATTATCGGATCAGTTGTTTTTCGGTTCAGATCAATATTTGATCGGTTGATTTTTGGGTCGGATCAATATCAGATCAGTTAATTTTAAGTTTGGGTCAACCTTTAGATCAAGTTAATTCGGGTTGAATTGGTTATGAGTCTAATCAATTATATATAGAATTATTGATATATTCTTGTAAAAAATGTCTTCTTGTTTGTTAATCTTATCATTTAGGTCTAATTTCAAATTAAACCATTATTTAGAGATGATAAATCGATAATTTGGCATAAATACGATCATATAACGTGTCTTAGAGCTTGTTATCAAAATTTTATATTGATCTTGTATGGAAAGTTAATCTCATTGATAAAGAAATATTTTTTTTTATTTCTAATTATAAATTTAATATTTTTATTAAACTTTAAAAAATAATACATAACTTTATTTGTTAAGTTTTAGTCGAAACGTAAGTAAACTTTATATTATTTTTATTAGAAATCTAATATTATTTCCTTTGTTTTAGTTTTTTTTTATTTTTTATTATAAATATAATATTTTTATTATAAGTAATATAAGTAAACTTTATTTGTTATTGTTTTCAATCTGACAATAAGAATCTTACTTTTTGTGATCACCATTTTTCAACCAAAGCCCAAAATAAAAAACGGGAGCCCAACTCAAACATAACACCCAAAAAGGACCCACAACGAACCAGCCTCAAGCCCTAGACCCTTTACAAAATAAAACCAAGACCCAAAGACCCGATCCGAGACCCAACCTGAATACCCGGCATGGGTTTAAACCTAAACTTTAGGATAGCAACCGCCCCAATCCCCAATCAAAGGCCATCGTTCTCTGTCTCAATACCGGTAAACACCATCCATGCACGCCACCAAGCCTCCAGCACTCCGCGCAACCTGTAGAAGACATCAAACAAGAAAACAAAACAGAATCATTTTCTTTTTTCTGTAATGGGTATAAAACCTGAACAAGCACTGTAATATCTCTGGTTTTGTTTGGGGGAGACAATCAAGAAGCAATAAAATCAATTGCAAGGTTATTTTATTCTCTTTTTTTTAGTTCGATTATTAATTTTTTTCTTTTAAGTTTTGAATCTCATCAGAAAAAAACCTTTTAGTTTCGATATAAACAATAAAAAATGTTTTAGTTTCTAAAAAAGAGCAAGCA